CCTTTCTTGTCCTATTGTTGTGGCTAGAACTTCTAGTACAATGTTGAATAAAAGCGGTAAGTGGAAATCCTTGTTTTGTTCCTCATCTTAGAAGAAAAGCTCTTAGGGATCCCTGGATGACTCGGTGGTTTGGCGCCTGCCTTCGGCCCAGGATCCTGGGGTTCCAGGATCAAGTCCCGCATTGGGCTCCCTGCATGGAGCCTGCTTCTTCCTCTGCCTGTGTCTCTGCCTCTCTCTCTCTGTGTGTGTGTGTGTCTCTTATGAATAAATAAAATCTTTAAAAAAAAAAAAAGCTCTTAAATTTATTGCCATTGAATATGATGTTAGCTATGGGTTTTTCATGTGACCTTTATTATATTAACATATGTTCCCTCTAAACCTACTTTGTTGAGAGTTATCATGAAATTCAGTATTGTACTTGGTCATATGGGTTTTTTTGCATCTGTTGAGATGCCCATCTGATTTTTATCCTTTTTCTTGTTAATGTGTTTCTGCCTCTTATTTAAATGATTATCATAGGAACATCCATTAATGTTTTAAAAGCAGTCAAACAAAATTTGTCTTTCTATGGCCCCATTTCATCTTTAGAGTTAAAGGGCATTTCTATACCTCCTGTTTTCTCTTCAACCTACCCTATTCAGGCAATGATTCCTACTTCATTAGTGAAATGACTCTTCCCAAGGTCATTAGCAGCCTCCATCTTGCCAAATCTAGCAATCAGTTCTCTGTAAAACTATCTCGTTGTATCTCAGCTCAGTCTCTCAGCAGGATTTGACAGTTTAACCAGCTTCTATGACTGTACAGTCACTGGATTTCCTCCTGAGTGGACACTCCTCCTCCTGAACAAGACTGTTGGGTTATCTTAGGGATCTGTCCTCTGCCACCTTCTCTTATCCATCTGCATCTTATCCCCAGGTGAGTTCATTCAGTTTTGTGACTTTAAATACATCTATAAACCAGGACACCTGGGTGGCTCAGTTGGTTAAGCGTCCAGCTCTTGATTTCAGCTCAGGTAATGATCTCAGGATTATAAGATCAAGCTCTGCATCAGGCTTCACACTTAGTAAGGAGTCTGTCTGAGATTCTCCCTCTCCTTCTGCCTCTCCTCCCACTCATGGGCTCTCTCACATACATACATATGTACATACATACATCAAATCAAATATCTTTAAATATATCTGTGAACTCATCTTCAAATTTCTGTGTCCATCTCTACCTTCACTCCTGAACTCCAGACTGGAACATCCAGTTTCCTATTCAACTCCCAACTGGATATCTAGTACACAAGCAGAGCTTGGGATTTCTTTCCCAGACCTATTCCTTCCTGTCTTTTTCCATGTCAGGTAATGGTACCACCACATATTCAGTATGTTTAAAAGATACTCTTGTTTCCCGCCATTTTCCTCATGTCAGCTGTTTTTCCAGAAGTATGTCGGATAGCATAGTAGTTGGGAGAGCCAGGCAGCCTCAGTTTGAATCCTGACTTGTCCTTGAACAAGTCAACTTCTGTGATCCAGATTCTTCAGGTTTCAAATGAAATTAAAATAGTACACATCTCATAGGACTGTTCATTCATAACATGTGGTGCCCAACTAAATTGATATATGTATGATGCTCTGAGCATAAAGGTTTGTCGTCATTGTCCCCAGTATAGGTAGTATTGATAGTTATGCAAGTACAAGTTATGGATACTAATATTATTACCATTTGGGCTACAGCTGCTATAGGCCAGCCCCCTGCCCTCACTAGCATGGACTAAAGATAGACTCCTCTGCTCTTGCTCCTCCACCATCCGCTCTCCACACACCAGCCAAGCTAATCTTTTTCAAGATATAAGTGAAATTATGTCACTGTCTTGCTTAAAAACTCCCTGGGGCTTTCCATTACAATTACAATAAAACTCAGACACCTCTCCATGGCCTGCAAAGCATTTTGTCAGTTGGCCTCCCCTTCCTCTCGCTCTCACCCCTGTTACTCTCCCCACCATTACTCCCCAAGTCTCCATCTACTCTGGCCTCCTCCAGGTCCCTAGAACATGCCGAACTCTCCCATTTTGGGTCTTTGCACTTGTCATTCCTCTGGAATGCTCTTCCCTCAGAGCTGCCTGCTTCTCTCATAAAATTCAGGTCTCAGCTCAAATGCTACCTCTGAGAAGGAGTCATCCTTGACTGGCCTGGTTCAACTTGCCCATCCCTTGCTCTTCATCTTGTGCCCGTCATCGTCTTTATTGCATTTAGCACTATGGAATTTTCTTATTTATGTATCTGTTTTAGGTAGGCACAGGCTTCAGTTTGTTTATCATCAAAACAACTCTAAACTAGGGATTGGGAGCTAAATTGTGGAATGCCAACTTTTTGAAATGGGGAGAGAGGAGTGTCTCCTCTGTGGGAGCTTCTTGTCTTGCATTGCCTCTTGAAAGTATGGGATATGCAGCTCATAGTTATTAGGGACTGATTGCACTTTGGAAAAATATCTCTGGGACTTTTCCTTCTTTATATCTAAGTCACTATTTTATCACATTTAAATATTTTACATATTTAAATAGTTATATGAAATAAATATAAATATTTATATACTTCAAATATTTAAACAGTATTTTAAATTGTTCTGGAAATAAAAGTGTTCTCAGTTGGTGTGACTGCTAAATGTTTTGCTTTCGAAACACACACAGCTCTTAGAGTATACTTAACTGTTTTAAAAATAAGACAGTAGGTACATAGTCATGAAGTTATTACAGCTACCAGCAAATAAGGATCATAATGGTGAGAAGTCATTTCCTGATTCATGTAGGAACATCATGTTCCATCAACTGCTTAGGCTTGGTAGACTTCAGGCTTTTAGTTCCTTACCTGAAATAATGCTATTCTTTTTCAATTTCTGAGCAGTGATAGTCATTCATAATCTAATGATCATGTCCTTGGTACCCAAAAAAAGGGAGGGCTCAATTCTTGTTTGTTAAATCGATCGAATTGCTAGCCTCTAAGTATAGATTCTTTACAGTACACTTGACAGCGCAAGCTGCTTCTGCTAAAATGTTTGTTACAAAATAAGAACAGGATCAGAAATTGCATATATAGTGTCAGCTCAAGTTATGCTCCTTATAGATTGAAAGCAGTCTCAAAGTATAACATGTTCATGTTGCTAAGTAGGTAAGATTATGGATTGCTGTTTGTTTTTTTTTCCTTAAGACTTTTCTGTTTAGGGGGCACCTGGGTGGCTCATTCAGTTAAGCATGAGGCTCTCTTAGTTTCAGCTCAGGTCATGATCTCATGGGTGGTGAGATCAAACTCTTTGTGGTGTGGGAGACTCCTCAGCAGGGAGTATGCTCGAAGAATGTCTCCTACCCTACCCCCATTCACCAGCACGTGCTCTCTCTCTCTCTCTGTAAAATAAATAAATCTTAAAAAAACAACAACAACCACCAACTCTTTTGTTCGAGCAAATAGTCATATGGGCCTGATTTCTGGGCACAGCCCAAGAATTGCCCAGCTCTTGAGTGCCTTTAAGCCATTGTGTGAGGCAGAGACCCACAGCAGACTGTCCTTGCCCAGACCTGTGATTGAATTTCTAGTAGCAATGATGGCTTTATTACTAGTACACTCTAAATCACTCCCCATGGTTGTCAGACTGAGAACATTTATTTGTTCATTCAACACTTGTGTACCGAATGGCTGATTTTGCCAAGCCATGGTAGTCACAATCAACATAAAGTAACCCAAGCAGACATGACCCCCTGCACTTGGGTTGCTTCTGTTGTATTAGGGAAGAAGACTCAAGCAACTAACACATTCAAGTAGTTTCAACTTGTAATAATGGTTGAGAGGGAGAGTATCAGATGCTATATGAGAGCACAGGGCAGGGGAGAGCCTAATTGATTTAGATTGAGAGTTTCAGGTAAGGCTGAGACCCCCAAAACTGAGAGGTCTTAGCCAGACAGAATGAGAAGATGCCAAAAGGCAGGGACCAAGAGGCACAGAAGAGTACGTGAAGGACTGCAGGAGGCCGGGGGTGGGGGCGGGGGGCGATGCAGCTGAGCTGGGAGACACTGGCACAGGACAGAGAGGCGGGCAGGATGAAATGTGGTTTCCAGGAGCTGCAGTTTGGGAAAGCTGTGCTGTGACCAAATAGTCAGAAGATGCCGGGAGGAAAGGCTGCTGCAACCCAACCCCCTCGAACCTCTAATAACAGAAAGTCTCCTAGCTCGGGCTGCACACAGGCTGGCTGCTGCCACCTTACGGCCTCTTTCTAAGGCCTGGTCCTGGGTGCCCTTGGCACACGGCGGCACTGCAGCTTCTGGAGGAACCTGGTCTTCCCACATGGAGCATGTAAAAGTGGTAAACAGACGCATGTTCTGAAGAAAATGAGGGCATGCAGGATCCAGGTATTTAAGTTAGGTTGGCCCTCCACTCCATGATGTCCCATGGGAGGTGTGATAGACAGCATTGGATTCTGTCTGTAATTCTACTGCCAAGTTCCTGGGATGAGATTTCTTCATTTATAAACTGACAGTGAGCGAACCTTTCAATCAGCAACCTTTTCTGGAGGAGGGCAGGGTGCAGGGGAATCAGTTATTTCTTACTAGAATTAGAAGAACTATCTCCTTTATTATTGCCCATAAAGGTTAATGTGAGAACAAAGTGATTGTTGAGACTGTTTTCATAATCTGTGTGATTCTGTTCAAATACATTGAATACTCCATTATTGTCTGCATGTGGTTGCATTGGGAAATCTTCACTTTGGGTCACAGCTCATTACTGAAAGCTAGCTGTTATAGGAGAAATGCCCTTGACTTGTATACTTGTATCGTCATGGTGTTCTCTGATAAGTCGTTCTTCCTCTAAATGAGCATACTTTGTTTGCTGTCTGTTTAAAATCTCCACAATGATTTTATGAAAATGAAAACTAGTATCTTGAAGCCCAAGGACACTGTATCTCTTTCCTACACTTGGAACTCTGAAGAAGATTGTACTGGCTGGTACTTAGTTTTTCATTCTTTCTAGGTTCTTCTTCATCCTTTGCTGAAAATCACTCTGTGACACAAGATGGCTGCAAACAAGCCCAAGGGTCAGAATTCTTTGGCCTTACACAAAGTCATCATGGTGGGCAGTGGTGGTGTGGGCAAGTCCGCACTGACTCTACAGTTCATGTATGATGAGGTAAGTGCCGGTTTTATAATGGGTATCAAAGTTCGGGCTGTAGAGAGTATTTCAGTAGTTTAGTTTTGGTGCTCTTTTAAATGTATACCTGAATCCTTGAAAGCTACTCATTGTTTTTCCCATTTTTAAATTTAGAGACAGAATTTGTGCACATCTTGACTCAACAAATCAATAGCTCAAGATCCTTAAGAACTTACACTTTAAAAACAAAATAAAACTGGAAACGGTACCTATTTTTTAAGCAATCTAACTTTTTGGCTTTTTCATTTCAAATGTTTAATGGAGGTTCCCATCTTGAGTTAATAGAAGTGGTAGATATAGTATCTAATTGAGACTTAAAGTTAGCATAATAAGGTGTCCTGTAGTAACTTTAACAGTAATGATTTTAATAATAGTGAAAAAATCAGTAGTATCTGGCATGGCACTACACTCACCATTAGGTAAAAGCTGTGTCCCTAAAATATAATTAAGAGAAGGTTACAGATTTGTGTGCCTGTATTTATATCAGACTTTACCACCCAGAGTTAAGGTCATAGCCTTTATACAGCAATATATTCTTTCCCCAGAAGACTTTTGTCAAGCCTAAATAATTTAAGAGTTGATAATCTGGTTTAAGCATTTATTCTCAATTCTTCCTTCCAATATAGAAGCAAGGTTTTATGGTTACTCTTTCTTACTTAATCCTCCAAACAATCCTGCATGGTAGGTGATATCCCCATTTTACAGATAAGAAAACAGGACCTCAGAGAGTTTTCTCAGCCTGCCCAAGAGGAGTGATCTCCAATGAGTAACCAAAGCCTGGTCTCCTGATAACAAATCCTGCAGATCTTACCACCCATTGTCTCCTTCCATTGCCTGTTCATCAGCATTTTTGGCACACACAAAAAAAGCCTAAATCTAATCAGCTCTCTTGCTCAATGGTGACTATAATAAAACATTTGGAAAGAAAGAAGATTGAAATGATACTTGAAATGAAATTGCTGATTTAAGTGCGCAATCTGTTTTCCATACTATTCATTTTAATAGATAGTCTTTCAAAGTAATCGCTCAGTCAGGCCCCTTCTTAATAATAAGGAAGAGGTCAAAGGTAAAACTATTCACATACCTGATGAGTGATAAATGGCTAAGCTCTCACTTAGTATTCATAAATATTAATATTCACAGTAGTATCTGATATCAGAATATGTGTATTTGTTAAATCATCATATGTAATACTTATAAAATTAGTATGTAAATATGGGTAGACTGTTTTGTAGCCTTTATGGTTACAAATACACTGTGTTCCTTTTTTTTAAATAATTACATATTGAGTATCCTCCCTGAACCAGGTAGATCGGGGAGCTAGAGTGATGAGTAGAATAGTCAAGGTCCCTGCTCCCAAGGGTTATGTTCTAGTAGGGGAATATGGACATTGAGCAAATAAATAAGAAAATATCAGATAAGGAAAATGAAAATATTTATAGGAACTAATTTTAAAAACGTGCAAAAGTATGTATACATACACACATGCTAGCAATGATACACTGATCAAAATATCAAGGTGAGATTTACAGAGTTGAAGATAGATGGAGGAATGTAAAGTTGTCTAATAGTACTGTTTAAAAAATGAGGCATGTAGAGAGCGACCTCAAAGTTTGTGATTTGCTGTTCTACTGAGTAAGTAGCATAAGCCACTTTATTGAATTGGTTCATTTTAGAGAAGAGATTTCACAGCAGCTTTCAATTGACTCACTTTCAAGTTATTTCTACAATTCTGGCATGAAAATTTATATAGAGAATCACATTGAAAGGAGTTGTTATATATTTGATTAAATACACATATAATCACTTTTGCAGGTATGGTGTTTTCAGGAAGGAAAAGGCACAGTTTTCAAGCTGTAAACAATCTAGACTTCATCATTCAACCCTTGCTTTTTATAAAAGTGGAAGCCACCAAATTATCTAAAATGAAATGTAGATTAGTGTAATTTTTACCATTGGGGAAAGCTGAAGGAAGAGTACATGGGACCTCTCTGTACTGTTTTGGCAACTTCACATGAATCTATATTTCCTCTCTTCTAGTTTGTGGAGGACTATGAGCCTACCAAAGCAGACAGCTATCGGAAGAAGGTAGTGCTGGATGGGGAGGAAGTGCAGATCGATATCTTGGATACAGCTGGGCAGGAGGATTATGCTGCAATTAGAGACAACTACTTTCGGAGTGGGGAGGGTTTCCTCTGTGTCTTCTCTATTACAGAAATGGAATCCTTTGCAGCCACAGCCGACTTCAGGTATGGCAGGGACTCATGCCTTTGCACCAGCATACCACGCAGTGGTGTCGTCCCCAGAAACAAGTGGACAACTAGAGCTTGTTATTTGTTAGTCTTTCACCCTGTGTGTAGTTGTGCTTATTCCCTCTTTGATGGCAGTCTGTGACTCCACCCACAGTGTACTTACACTCAGATACTCGGTATACCTCGAGTAATCTTAGAGCTGTCGCAGTGCCAGCTGTATTGGAGTGTAAGTTTGTGAGCCTCAGTACCAAAGGTCTCTTATGCATTACTGAAGTATTTCTCTTTGCAGTATAATACTACTGCTGCCGTAATGGTTGACATTTGGATCACATCATAGAGCTCTGACCCAGATTGTAGATCTTTCTGTGTTAGTCACCAGTTTTACAGCCCCTGTGTAATGCTCAGCAGGCACATCGCCATCCTCCTCACAACACAGATCCCCTGACAGCACACACTGATTTTTCCTTTAAGATTTTATTTATTTGAGAGTGAGGGAGAGCACAAGCAGGGGTAGGGGCAGAGGAAGAGGAAGAAGCAGACTCCCTCCTGAGCAGGGAGCGGGATGCAGGACTCAATCCCAGGACCCTGAGATCGTGACCTGAGCCCAAAGCAGCCACTTAACCAACTGAGCCACCCAGGCACCCCTGATTTCTTTTAATAGAAATAATACCATAGATTGGCACACGAGGTTTTGTTATATAGTATTTTTTATATCTTACCATTTGCTTAATCAAAATCTGTCATCCATTTGGTTTGCAGGGGTGCAGCTGGTAAAGGGGAGAGAGGTTATAAGAGAAATACAGCATAAATAAGTTCTTGAATAGTCTCCAATATTACGTGTATAATCAAAAGTATCCCTTTTTTTTAAGATTTTATTTATTTATTTTAGAGAGACAGTGCGAGCAGGGGGAGGGGCAGAGGGAGACTCCCAAGCAGACTGCACTGAGCATGGAACCCAGTGCAGGGCTTGATCTGACAACTCTGAGATCATGATCTGAGCTGAAACCAAGTTGGACACTCAACCGACCAAGTCACCCAGGCCCCCCCCCCAAAAAAAAGTATTTTTTTCATTATATTTTTTTATTTTTTTTGTTTCAAGTTTGCCTTGGTATGAGGGATGCAAAAGAAGAGAGCATGTAGTGTATCTTTTTCTTTTTTTTTAAGATTTTATTTATTCATGAAAGACATGGAGAGAGAGAGGCAGAGACATAAGCAGAGGGAGAAGCAGGCTCCTCCATGCAGGGAGCCGGATGTGGGACTTGATCTCAGGACCCTAGGATCACACCCTGGGCCAAAGGCAGGCGCTCAATCACTGAGCCACCCAGGTGCCCCTGTAGTGTATCTTTTAAAGATTGACACAGCCTAGCAGCAAAAACCATGAAACCAAGAGCAAGGTAGTAACAGAGTAGGAGATGTAGACAGTGCTCATTACAGGGATCCAGGAGGCTTTTGTAACATAGGTGAGCCAGAAGGATAAGAAGGATTTCCACAGACAAGGAAAGAAGTTTTCTGGAGGTCGAGCAAAAACTGAACCTGGCTTTATATAAAGCTTCTTTTTTCACATACACTTGAAAGTCCCAGAACTGAAGAAATTTAAGAGAGCATTCTTTGTAGAAAAAACAAAAGTCATTGAGAAACTTTTAAAATGCAGATTAATTTATAAAATTAATTTTGTTGGTTTCTCTAAGGAAAGAGTTTCATATATGATAAAGAAAGTACAAAGGGTGGCAGGCCCTGGTGACTTATAATCTTGGGAGACATGTTGAAAGTTAATTTAAATGTCGGTGCTTATTCACTCATTTAGCAAATATCTGAGTGCTTGTTATGCAGCAAGTCCTGGTCTAGGTAATGGGATAAATGTTGTCACCATAGTTGCCAAAGACAAAGTGGTATCTCAAGGGAATAAGGTATTTTTCCGCCAAGAGTAAGAATCTTAGGCACTGCTGTGACAGAAAATAAATGAATCATTCATTACTCTTCTATTGTACCTCCGACGTGTTCCCCTTCCCATAAATAAAAATAGTCCCAGTGACTCAGCAGCAACAGGAAAACATTTTTGAGACCGTCTGAATGGTTACACACCACGCGGTCTCGCCCACAGGGTGTAGTACCAGTGGTAGGGCCTCTCTTGAGCCTTCCTGGGCCTCCCATCACCGAGGCAGAGCCCCCGTTTCCTCATCTGCGTGAGCGGTATGCTTGCAACAGCACCACTAGCACACTTACTACCCTCTCAGAATCAGCTTGATTTGTGTGCTTTTTCTGACAAGGGGAAAACTCTTGAGAGCAGGACCTGTTTCCTAGCCAAGTATCCCTAGTACCCATATTTGGCACAGTTCCTGGCATGTATCATACAGGGCATGCTTAGCAATCGTTTGATAGAAACATTAGAGTAAACGTTTGATAGAAACATTAGAGGCACACCTAGGTGGCTCAGTAGGTTAAACATCGGCCTTCAGCTCAGGTCATGATCCCAGGATACTGAGATGGGGCCCCACGTCAGGCTCCCTGCTCAGCGGGGAGCCTGCTTTTCCCTCTGCCCCTCACCCTGCTTTTGTACTCTCTCACTCTGGCTCTCTCTCAAATAAATAAATAAAATTTAAAAAAAAAAAAAAGAAAGAAATGTTAGAAAACTCTCTTATTTTTTTTAGTTCGCACGTCAAAAATGAAGAAGTTGGACCAGTTTGTAAAGGTACTTTCCTATTCTAAAATTCTATAGTTGCCTTTAAATTCTATTTAAAGGGAGCATCACATTAAGTAAAATGTGAATGAAGATGAGCATTGCCTTTCTCTGACATCCAGGAAAGTAGCTAATTAAAACCAACTAATTCACTCTAAGAAATAATGTCTTCTCATCCCTGAACCCAGGAAGTGCATGGGCTTTCCACGGCTACATTTGTGGTAGCATTCATCACACAGTAACAGGAAGTATTGGTCTTCCTGAAGCCCCTGACGCAGAGAGCCTAGTAGGTATTTACTAAGAAATATATTAATGACTGTGTATACATATGACCAGAAGTACTAGAGTCAAAGAAACCAGAGTCAGTCTCTGGTAGTTAGTGAGATCAAGTCATAAGTCTATTGTTGACATCTTCGTTGAGGCTGTTGATCACAAAAGAACCTGGTTAAGAAGGTAACAGCACATTGTTGTCCCCAACACTGGAAAAAGATTATGACTGGCCAATGTCCTCTTCACAAACACATAAATTTAATAGGAGTAATGGTGGTGTGGCCATGGTCTTTGCAAGAGGTCACGTGAGTGGAGGAAAACATCACAGCCCTCCTGTCCTGTACAGCTTAGCACACGTCCCCCAGTTACTGGGCCCCCTGACCTGTTTCATTCCTCATAGGGTGGTTAAGGTAAGTACAGATCAGTGAAAGATGGAGGTGACTGTGTGGTCCATAATCTGCTCATGCTAGAAAACTAGGAATTCAGGTCCAGACAGCTGCCTGCAAGCGCTGAGTGTGTTGGAATGTTTACGACAACATCGGTAACCAGGTGAATGAAGGAATACTAAAAATAACACTGCCTAATACACAGTGCTCACCACGCACCAGGCACTGCTCTCAGTGAACAAGATGAACAAGACGAGCTGGATACTAGCGAATTTCATAGATTCTAAAACACACATTCTTTTACATCTTATCATCTCTTAAAATCAGGCCCTTGTCTTCTAGTAGAACATCTTTCATTATGACTGGCAGCAGTTTTTCTTAGTGGTGCATAACATAACGCGTGCAGTTAGTGACATTTAAAGCCCATGGCCATTGCGAGCACTCAGTAAAATGCTAGCAGCAGTGGAGGTGGTGGTGGTATTCAGTGGAGATGGTGGTGGTATTCAGGCGATGCTGTCAAGGAAGCACAGAATAGACAAATGTGAGATTAAGGCTTGGCAAAGATTCGTATTCCATCTCAAACATCACGAGAGATCGCTGCAAAGTCCGTGTCCTCTGCTAATCTGTCATGCTAATAACCCCGTTACTCATCTCCTTTTCTCTTAGTCTAAAATATTGTTCCTGTAGTTTCAAATCCCTTAATAATTTCAAAGGAGGGGCATCAGTAAGATAGCCAGAGAGTGTTGATTTTGGAAGAAACCTTTCTCCAGCAATCACTAAGAGCAACTATCATTCATTGAGGATTCACTGTGTGGCAGACACAAGTCTAGGTACTTTACATTTCATCCTCATAGCACCTGGCTGAAGAAGGTTCTGTGGTTAGCCCCATTTTCCATGTGAGGAGACCAGGGCAAAGAAGCATTTTTGCCCAGAGTCACATGACTGGGAAGGGCCGAGAACCATGACACCTTTAAAACTGGTGATGGCACATAACTTCTCTCTAAACACAACATCTGGGCACCCCGGGTGACTCAGCAGTTTAGTGCTGCCTTCAGCCCAGGGCCTGATCCTGGAGTCCCGGGATCAAGTCCCACATCGAGCTCCCTGCATGGAGCCTGCTTCTCCCTCTGCCTGTGTCTCTGCCTCTCCCTGTCTCTCTGTCTCTCATGAATAAGTAAATAAAATCTTAAATTATAATAATCTTAAATAATAATAATAATAATAATAATAATAATAATAAACATCTGTACTCGAGAGATGTCTGGCCTTTGTGGGGTTTTTAGAAACATTTAGTGGGACCGGTGATGTGAGGCAGTCCTCCCCCAAACCTGTGACCCCACTTTAATCATGAGAGAAACATCAGCCAAATCCCAACTGAGAGATTTTCTACAAAGTAGCTGCCCAGCATGTCTCAAAACTGTCAAGGTCATCAGAAACAAAGGAGGTCTGGGAACTGTCAGAACCACGTGGAATCTGAGGAGATGTGATGACTAAATGTCACGCGGGATCCTGGACAGGATCCTGGAACAGGGAGAGGACATTAGGTAAAAACTAAGAACATTGGAATAAAATTCGAACTTCAGTTAATAAAGACGTCTCAAGAGTGGCTCATTAGTTGTGATAAATGTACCACACTAACGTTAAGATGTTGCCCGTAAGGGGAACGTGGGTGCGAGGGTATGGGAACTCTAGCGTCTTTGCGACTGTCCTACACATCTAAAACCATCCTTCCAGTAGAAGTTGATTTTTAAAAAGCATTTGGAGAAAGTTGCGTTTGACACTTGGATTTTGTGCCTCTACTGCCGTATTTATGTTCTCCTCGCTAGTGCATTTTTCCTTCATCTGTGAAGTGAGTATGTAATTCAGGTGATCGATGGTGGAATAAGGAGGAGGCGCGGCTCATTTCCTACCATGCATGAGCTAGTTGCTATTGTAAAGGAACATGTAAACAAATGCTAATTGCAGATGGGTTTTGTTATTTTGTTAGTATAACATGTGGGGGTAATTTTAATATTTCTTTCTCATTTCCTCTTGTCCAGGGAGCAGATTTTAAGAGTAAAAGAAGATGAGAATGTTCCATTTCTGCTGGTTGGTAACAAATCAGACTTAGAAGATAAAAGGCAGGTTTCTGTAGAAGAGGCAAAAACCAGAGCCGACCAGTGGAATGTTAACTATGTGGAAACATCTGCGAAAACCCGAGCTAATGTCGACAAGGTAAAGGGTGGCCCTCCTTACTGCACATCATGTTAACAATAAGTTGATTCGCTTTGTCTCAGCTCCACTGTCTAGAGATTTGTGAAACTTGCAAATGGTGATTTAGCATGTGCTGATTTGTATCCGCCCTGAATGCTCCAGTGCAGCACGTGAGGAATTTCCTACTTCACCTTGTCCTCAGGTTCCCGAGAGACACCGCAACATGAGACTTTTTTCCTCGTGCTGACAGGATTCTGACCTGAATCCCTGCCTTTTTAAAAAATTTCGTTTCTTAATCCTGATCGGCTGGATAATTTAAAAGACGTGGCAGAAGTCCTCTGAGCTGACACCTGCCCAACCCCATACCGGTGCTCCGAAGTAAAGGTGCCTCCCGAGACAGGAGCCCCAGAGAAGAGGGCTTCGAAATCTATTACTACGCCTCCGCTCCCCACCCTGTTTTTTCCTCTATCCGATCTTCCCCCTTCGTTCAGGTGGCCCTTCCCCGAGTCCTGCCTCCTTTCTAGGAGCCGGCCCAGGTGCCTTATTTCATCCTCCTGTCGGAGACGCACATCTTCCGGAAGACTGCCCATCGGCTGAGGCAGGGCAGGCTCCCTGAGCCCCGCAATGGGGCCTTTGCCAGCCCCCGGCATCTAGGCTGTGCCGAGTGCCTCTCAACTGCTAGCTGTAAATTGTCTCTGAGACTTCACGGACGGACGCGGATTCCTGGGTCTTACCCGCAGAGATTTTGATTCATGTGCTATGAGTGGGAGCTGAGAATTTGCATTTCCTGCAAGCTCCCCAGTGGTGCAGACTGCGGCCCTGGCAGGGGCGGGGCTGGGTCTAGGCTATTTTGGTTACTCTGGCTGTATCACGAGCAGACCACCGTTTACTATGCTCTGAGAACCACTGGGCCAAGAATTTGGACGGGTCCCAGTGGAGGTGGCTTGTCTCTGCTTCACAGTATCTGGTGCCTCAGCTGGAAGCATCTCCACTTAGGTTCACAAGACTGTTCACACGTGTCTGAGTCAGCCAGTTGATGCTGGCTGTTGTCCAGGGACTCCTCCGTTCCTCACCATGGGACCTTCTCCACGTGTCGTGCTTTAGGCGTCATGCCGAGCCCGGGTGGCTCAGGAGTTTAGCGCCGCCTTCAGCCCAGGGCGTGATCCTCGGGACCCGGGATCGAGTCCCATGTTGGGCTCCCTGCAGAGAGCCTGCTTCTCCTTCTGCCTGTGTCTCTGCCTCTGTCTCTCTCTGTCTGTCATGAATAAATAAATAAAATATTTAAAAAACAAACAAAAACCCGTCCCTGTAGAAGGGTGGCATGGTGAGCGCCAGGGGCAAGTGTCACAAGAGAAGAACCAGGCAGCAACCACATCACCTTTTATGACTTAGCCTCGGAAGTTATGCAGCATTATTTCCATGTTGCCCTGTTAACTGCAGTGGTCACAGAGTCCCGCCCAGGTTCAGGAGGAAGGGGAATCCACTCCACTTCCTGATGGGGGTGGCAAGGTGCTGGAAAAGCAGGAAGGGGGGTGTTGCTGTGGCCAGTTTGGGGAAATGTAGTCTGTAGTCAGGGGTCACCTCTCCAAAGCAAAATAACATTAAATGTGGCGGCTTATAAATACCGTCATTTCACGTACCACAACAGCCCGAAGAGTGTAAATGCCAGATAAAATACCTCAGTGGCTAAATAAAAGTAACTTAAAGCAACTATCCAGTTTCTAGAATTAGGTTATATTTGGTTTCTTGCTAAGGAAATAAAGTTAATAATTAGAAGAGCACATATTCATTTGTGCTTATAAGACGCAGGCACTGTAGGCAGCACTAACCAGGTATCTTTAACCCCGTAAGGTGTAAGTACTCTTCCCATGCTCACTTTTTTAGATGAGGAAACTGAGATGCAGAGAGATTACATACCCGATTCAAGTTCAAAAGGCCTGTGATGGCGTCTGCTGGTTCTAGGTGTGGCCGACCTAAGTGCCTGTGTCATCTCCCGACTATTTACAACACACAACAGTTGGAGTACCTGTGGTATCCCCCAGAGCGTACGTCACCCACTATGAAGCCTGGACAAGTTTTCTGGGGTAGTGAGTGTTAATATTGTCTCCTTCTATTATATTAGGTAGTATCTTGTTTTGTCACAGAAAACAAACGCTCAACTCCCCTACGAGACATTAAGGGCTCATGCCGTGTCCTCATCTGGATTCCAAATAGACCATCACATCGAAGTTTCAGAGGCAGATTTTGAGTCCACCCTGTAAAAAGCTTCATGACCATCTGAGTGGTCCAGCCGGGGCCTCGCCTGTCTCAGAGGCCATGCCTGTCACAGGGGAGTCACCCAGAGGCAAGGGTCCACCTGGCAAACCTGCTTTTTAGACTCACTGGGTGCCAGGTTCACTTCATGACCTTGTTAGTGGCCTTCTGGCTAAATGTCCTGGTTCTTTAATGCATAACTCCAAGATTGCTCTTAATTTTTAAGGAACACCTTGGAGGAATGGAAAGAGATTGAACAAGTAGATGTCAAAAAGGAGAATATGATTTATTACATAAAGAGAGCCAATTTTATGTTGGGAAAAGAATTTTAGGAGAAATGTACTGTATTTTTAATTTTTTTGTCATTAAAAACGTGAACACCTGCTTATTGTATAAGAAAAATTCGTACTAACTTAAGTATGTCTTTCCAGACGTTTATCTGCATTTAAAGACCAATATCTAGAGTCTAAGGGAAAGCTTGTGTTTGCTTGTGTTTCCCTGTATAAATAGGATTTTTATATATAGTACTTTTATTTATATAAATAATAAATATATATATACACATACACACACATATATGTTGTATATATATATAAAATATTTCTGTGTATGAAGATCATCCATTTCTGTAGTTTACTTTTTGAATTTTATAACAGGCGCTTGGGTGGTGCAGTTGTTCGGGCGTCCAACTCTTGATTTCAGCTCAGGTCGTGATCACAGGGTCATGAGATCAAGCCCAGTGATGGGCTCCATGCTGGGTGTGGAGCCTACTTTAAAAAAAACCTTCTTCTGAAGTTCACTCCATAGTGATCTATGTGCATCAGGAAGCCACAAGCAAGTCCTCTGATACTATATGTAGCTAGTTTGGAAGCTTCCTGCCCGAGCTGGCCAGCTGTGCACTCCAAGCACAGACATTCTAAAATCGCCGCAGGGAAGCCAAGATCCAAGGAGTGAGGGCAGAGACCCCAGGGGTCGTGTTACCCATGTGTTTCAGTCTCCTGCACTCTCTGTGGGCTTGCTTTGCTCAGTTTTTCCCTGTTCTAACCATTCACACCCCTTTGTGTGTTGGTCCTGTGTCCGTTTGACTTAAGCCATTAGTCTCTGGTCGCTTCCTTGCCTTTTTTTTTCCCCCCAGTAGTTTCCTTGCCTTCTGATTTACTTTCTGTTTCTTGCTTCAGATCAGGAATCAGCCGTTTATCTAAGGAACACTGGTTCTCTTGGGAGGAATGGTGTTTAGCAGCAACAGCCTGAGGACTAATGTGCTTACTGCTGTTGGGTTGTCATTGCTTCATGGCCTTTCAGTGAAGTGCTGGGAAATGCGTATAATTGAAAGAAAACAAATCATGAGATCATACTGTTACTGCTAATTCAATTTTAGCTTTCAGGATCTCTACCTCTTTGACTTTATATCTTACTTAGATATAAGAAAGATGTATCATCTCTCTTACACTGAAAATCGTCATTCCTAACCCACATAATTGCTCATACACTATCCTGCAGCGTATATATAAAATTCTTCCAAAAGAGTAATACCACTGTAACTACCAACCGCTAAATTACAAAGTGAAGTTTAAGATTTTTCTTGTTTTGTTTTTTATTTGTTGAGGTTTTATTTTTTATTCTTGTATATATACTTGTATATATCTTGTATATAACTACGAACATGTAGTTAGTCTTGTTTTAGTTTGATTTTCAGTTTTGGGCAGCTGCTTTTTGTGTTTATTTTTGTTTTTTGGTTTTTTTTTTAATTTTTTTTAATTTTTTTATTTATTTATAGAGACAGAGAGAGAGGCAGAGACACAGGCAGAGGGAGAAGCAGGCTCCATACTGGGAGCCCGACGTGGGACTCAATCCAGGGTCCCCAGGATCACGCCCTAGGCTGTAGGCGGCGTTAAACCGCTGCGCCACCGGGGCTGCCCTTATTTTTGTTTTTTAAGCTGTAAAACACTTACATTTCCAAAGTAGAAGTTGTATGACGAGGTATATTCAGAGATGCCTCACTGTTCCGTGTCCCCTGTTCTCTTCCTCCTGAAAATAATATTGGCGTCTGGTTTATCATTTCATTGTTTCCATTTCAAATGCAGGCAAATCCACATAACTCCTGTTCTGCACACATGCAGGTAGCTCTCTGCTATCCTTGACAGCACCTGTCTTTTCCAGTTAGTGTTTCCTTTAGACAGCTGGAGGAGTGTTTGAAAAGGCCCAGCAGCCATTCCATAGCATACGTTTGCTTACTTACAACACTCAGCAATGCACAAGCTAACTAGAGTTTTTTAAATCTCTGATTTCAGTTGAGTGAGTTCTTAATACATTGGTGTGATGTCACATCTTATTTCATGCTTATGAGAAAAATAAAATAGAAATTATAACAATTTTTTTTAATTCAGAATTTTAGAATGTAACCCATGAAAGTCATTCTTCCAGGCATCACACACACACTCATGACTGGGCAGTCTGAGCCCACGTCCCTGTAGACCTGTCTGCCCTCAGACATTTGTTACTGACATTTAACTTTTGAGTGGTTACACTAGTAATTTTTAAATGATTATGCGAATATCTCTCATTTGCCAGTTTCTAGGCATCAGAATTGATAAATTCTCAAATATGTTGAAAGAAATTGTTTTCTTCGCATCTGGTATCAAAATGATAAAGGAAGGACTTGTTTTCCTTAGCTTTGTTTCTAAAAATGGAGCTGAAGAAAAGTCAAATTATTAACTAGATATTATATCTATATGTAAACTATAGTTATTACCTATAAATTTTATTAAATTAATTACTTTTAAATGTGAATGAGTAAAATACATTCATTCGTTTTAAGTTACTCAGATGGAATCCACTGAGCTTTAACTTTGGAGCTATCATCATTTGTAGGGCTTTGGTCTTTTTTTTTTTTTTTTTTTTCCCCTGAAAATTGGAATGGGAAGATTAGGTTAATGATGGGAACAATTTTACCGAAAAGTGCAGTACAGGAAAGTTCCCAGTTTTCCCAGTACCTTGGGGAAGGAGTCTCTGGGATTTGTTTGTTTGTTTGTTTGTTTGTTTGTTTTTAACAGTGATAAAATATACTTTTATTTACTTTGTTGAGTCAGAGGGTCATAAAAAAATTATTGCTAAAGTAGATATCAGGCAAATAGAAAGGTACTTTAGAAGTCCAGTTACCTTGGAGTTTATTTAAACTAAGAGGAAAGGTCATAATGTTTTCATGCAATACATATTTGGTTGTTTAAATAACAACCGTGACAAATAACACAAAGAATTATGGGATGCTGCACTTGTGATCCATACAATACACCAACATTGTGGATTGTACATAATTTAAAGAAATGTCTCAAACACTGTTTGAATTACTGTAGTAGCCAATACATAGAGGCATGCTTTCAGGTGGGCACAGGAATGCGGTTTAGAAAAGAAAGAGAAATATCACACTGGAACTACTCAATTTCTTCAAAATCACTGAGCAAGAAAAGCAACATTGAACTTCCATACGATTTTACACAACTTTTATACAGTACCTTGACTTAAATCCAGAGCAAAAGTTAAGACTCTCTTCCTCTTATTTTTGGTAAATAAGTGCATGGTAAACTTAGATGACTTTTCCCCCTGGATTTTACCTGGGAGTGGCCTTTTAATTTTATTTAAAAGAGGCCAGGTTTGGCACTTTTATACTGATATCACCAATGTTAATATTTCTTGGGATCTCCGGAAGACTCATATTCTTTACAGCTTATACAGCACGGCTGGAGCTCCCGCTAAGCCAGCCTCAGATTTCTCCAGTTTATTTTGTGCATCAATTTGTGTAACAGTCTCATTCATGTTGGTCTCCAATACCATTTCCCCCATCACCATTTCTGCAAGAATATCGTGAACCTTATCACATGGAAAATTAAATCCAGTTCACATTTTCAAAACACTTGTCTAATATTTCCACAAAGACTTGAATTAGATCTAAAATGCCAAGTTCACTTTCTGAAGAATCCACACAAAAAACAAAATACAGCGTTGCATAATGTCTATACATCAGTTTGTTGTCAGATCCTCCGATTAACAGTCCTCCGTCTAGGAAATTACAAACATTTCCATCTCTCTTAGCTACCAAATGGAATGTCTCCCTGCTGATGTGCTGTTGTGTATCTTCACTGTCGGGCTGGTAGGACTTGGAGAGCCGCGGCTTCCCGTGGTTGTTGAAGCTGAGGATCGCCTTGATCATGGCTGAGCCGGCGGACCGGGTGGGACTGGGTGGGGGCCGGGGCGGGATCTCAACGGCGATCCTTCCCCACCGGCCCCCTCCTGCCGAGTCTCTCTGGTTTTGTGCCATCTTCTCCTTGTGCTCCCCGAACAGGAACCCTTAAGTCGTCATTCTTAGCTTATTTCCCAGGTTTGCGGCTTTGGTTCCAAGAAGTACCAAGCTCATATGATATGTTGGTTTTATTTACCCTGTTTTCTTCTTTCTAGGTATTTTTTGATTTAATGAGAGAAATTCGAGCCAGAAAGATGGAAGACAGCAAAGAAAAGAATGGAAAAAAGAAGAGGAAAAGTTTAGCCAAGAGAATCAGAGAAAGATGTTGCATTTTATAATCAAAGCCCAAACTCCTTTCTTATCTTGACCATACTAATAAATATAATTTATAAGCATTGCCATCGAAGGCTCAATTGACTGAAATTACTTTAACAATTTGGAAATTGTTATGTATCACTAAAAGCATGAATTGGAACTGCACTGAAAGTCAAATTCACTTAAAAAAGAAATTAATGTGGCTTCACCAAGAAGCAAAGTTCAACTTCTTTCATAATTGCCTACATTTATTGCAGTCCCGAATGTAGCGTGTGGGCTTGTGTTTTGCGGGCAGTCTTTCTGGAACTGTTAGAGCTGAGACGGGGTGGGGGGAATGGGAGGAAAGGCTACTTCCTCTGGTTTATTATAAAGCTTAAATTTTATATCATTTTAAAATGTCTTGGTCTTCTACTGCCTTGAAAAATGACAATTGTGAACATGGTAGTTAAACTGTACCACTTTTTTTAACCATTGTTATGCAAAACATAGAAGAAAAGTTATTGGCATGATTGTTGCATATAGTTAAATTGAGAGTAATTCATCTGTGAACCTGCATTAATTACCTGGTGATTAACGTAGAAAGTGGTGTAAACTTGTACATGGAAATTTTTGAATATGCCTTAATTTAGAAACCGAAAAATACCCGGTGACATCATTCTGGGTGTGTCCTCACTGGTGCCGTGGGCCTGTCGCCGCGTGTGTCCTGGTGAGAGAATGCTTGCTTGGTATGAAGTACAACTTTTGTATAGAAGATTCTTGAAAAATAACCCGTCTGCTAGGAGTCTGTCCAAAATTTAAAATGTGTGCCATACTCTGGTTCTTGAAAGTAAGGTTCCAGAGCTCCTTGATTACTTTTAATTAACTGTAAGGTAGTGTGAAATGAAGGGCCAGCATCTACTTGTAAGATAATTTTAGACTGTGAGGACTCAGCACACTTCTGTTTCAGTGAGCCCGTTTTTCTTTAAGACGCCGGTCCCTGGAAATCCCTTCCCACAAGTGGTGAGCGTGTGTGAGGTCGTTGGTCTCTCCGGAACGGGGCACACGGAGAACGTCACTAGAGCTGAGGCCCTTTGCACTGGAACACTTGGGGAAAGCCTGGGTGCTTGCCACCTGGCCATTTCTCAGGGTGCGCTCAGGAGGCTGCAGTTGGGCTCGGGGAGTGCTCGGGAGTCTCTCTGGTCCGCGTTCATAATGAAGAACGCCAGAGCGCGGTTCCCTAAAGTTAACACCCGGCGGGCAGCCTGAGTGTAGTGCGGAAAGCACGTGTGGCACACGCAGGCCAGACGTTAGCTTGTGTCGCCATTGTGTGCTGTGCCCACTGGGAAAATTCTAGCATGCTATTCGGGGACGTAGTTTCAATGGGAAATACACCACTGTCAAGAGGTTTCTTTTCTTCTTCGGACTGGGACTAAGGCAGTTGATTCAACAAAGTTCGTCTTTCTTTTCGCTCAGTCCTAATTTCCACAAGTCAAAGGTGTGTTCAGGCATTCCAGGTAACAGGTGTGTACGTAAAGTTAACAAAAATAGGCTTTTTAGGAACTCTCAGCTCTTTAGATATTACATCTGACTTGTCATGTTAAATATTTGTCCTTAAAGGGTTTGAGATGTACATCTTTCATTTCGTATTTTTTCATAGGCTATGCCATGTGCAGAATTAAAGTTGCCGATGTAACACTGGCCCGGCGGGCCCAGCGATCTCCACGTGTACTCATTGCAGTCTTATTTAACCAGGGGTCCTAACCACTAACATTGTGACTTCGCTCTGAGACCTTTCCTCTCCTGGGTACTGAGGTGCTATGAAGCCAACTGACAAAGATGCATCACATGTCTTAGGCTGATGCCACTACCCGATTGGTTTATTTGCAATTTGAGCCATTTAAAGACCAATAAACTTCCTTTTTTAAAAATGCTTGTGGTGTTACTTGATGTTTATAATATATATAACACGCAGCGTTCAGCTTTATCAACCTGGGCACCCTGACCAGAGGTTTTAAAACCGCTAAATATCAGGGCTCCTGGTGGCTCAGTCAGTTATGCATCTGCCTTCGGCTCAGGGCATGATCTCGGGGTCCTGGGATCGAGCCCCGTATCCGGCTCCCCGCTCAGCAGGGAGTCTGCTTCTCCCTCTGCCTCTGCCTCTGCTTGTGCGCTTTCTCTGTCTCTGTCAAATAAATAAAATCTTTAAAAAACAAAACAAAACAAACACTAAATCTCGAGCTCTCAAGTTTAGGGTTTGCTTTTGTGTAACCCCAGATTTCCTAGACAGCAGCATCATTGGTCAGCGGCAGCCCAGGCTCAGAAGCAGGCAAATCCTATGTGCACAATTACGTGGGAGAAACCCTGGGTGGTCCCGAAGGTCACGGTGTGTGCTGTACTTTCAGAATACTCCCAGAGTCCCGAGTGGCTAGGTGATGGTTTTATATTCACCTTCTAATCAGAATGATCCTCACGTATCATTTAATTTCCAGATTGTGGCAGGAGTCCCCACCCTGCTGCCATTTCATCAAGCTTCAGATCATTCATTCTGTCTGGCGTCGCATGTCGGTGGGAAATGGTGTATTAACTGTCGGCCAGCCTGGGTTAGAACCGATCGGCCCCGTACTGACTCAGCACTGCCTTGCAAAATCCAGTTGATCTTAATTTCTTAATTCATAAGCACATGTAAGTTCTAACTGATGTAGTTTTAACCTCCCTCGCTGGACCCATTTTTTTTAAAGTATTTCTTTTGGGGGGGAGAGAGCACAAGCACACGAGTGGGATGGGGGGCAAAGGGAGAGAAGCAGACTCCCCGCTAAGCGTGGAGCCCAACGTGGGGCTCAATCTGACAACCCTAGATCATGGCCTGAGCCCAAACCAAGAAGAGTTGAACGCTTAGCGGACTGAGCCCCTGGGCCCACTTTTAACACCAGTATGGGGCATGATGCTAAATGTACACCAAATAAAGGTCAGGTTAAGTTCCAGTCCTAAATCAGAGCGTCATGTCTCAAAATTGTACGACAAGAAGGTAAAATGGATTTGGCAACCTTGCATCACTACCTGTAGAGTAAAAGCCTCAAAGCATTTACCAAAAGTGCCTGTGAGGTCGTCGAGGTCGTCGAGGTAATCCTTTTGATTGAATCCAGTGGTTGAAGCCTCCTTTAGCCGCTGACTTGGGAAGTCAGGGGCGGCAGCTAAATAGAGGGCTTCGTGCGTGCCTGTGCCTTTCCTACATAGTGTGTCCACCTCGTGGGCACCGGCGCTGCTGGGAACGCAGCAGGGGAGGGACAGACACCAGTGCCATTCCGGAGACCCATGCTGCAGAAGGTAGCTCTGTGCCCCTTGCGGAAGGAGGGGAAGTTAAAAAAAAGATGAGGGCTCCTTACTCTGGGCTACACCCCCTATTTCTTGATTGTCAACAGGTAAAAACAATCGCAACAATAAGGGGCACCTGGGCGGCTCTGTTGGTGGAGCATCTGGCTCTTGAGCATCCGACTCTTGACCAAAGCTCAGGTCTTGGTCTCAGGGTCGTGGGTTTGAGCCCCGCGTTGGGTATGGAGCCTGCTTAAAAAAAATAATGTCATGATAGCAAACCGCGCATCCTCTATGCCAGACACCGGCTATACGTATCTGAATTTCATATTCCTGCTATGAGGCCGGTGCCATCACTACCCCCTACTCTGCAGACGAAGGAACCGGCCAAAGAGCAGTGAGGTCACGTGTCGGGGCCCCAAAGCCCCAGGTGGCGGCCCTGGGCGCAGGGGGCGGAAGGGGGGCAGGGTGAGGAGCAGAGGGCAGGCTTGGCGGCCGCACGAAGGTGGGAGCCCCCCACCCCCACCCCCAGACTTCCCGGGCCGGGGCCACGCGTGCCGATTGACGACCGTCCTGGACGGGACAGCTCGGCTGCCTGTGAGCCGGCCGGGCGCTGGGGCGCAGCCTGGTTGCCAGAGACAGGCGCCCCTCGACCCTGGGGGCGGCCTCCCCGTGCGACTGCGAACCTCAGGAAGGAGCAGCGCCCCTCGGGGGGCGGGGGCTCGCGGCTGAGCGGCTGCCTTGGGCCCAGGCCGTGACCCCGGGTCCCGGGATCGAGTCCCGCGTCGGGCTCCCTGCGTGGAGCCTGCTGCTCCCTCTGCCTGTGTCTCTGCCCCCCTCTCTCTCTCTGGGTCTCTCATGAGTAAATACAATCTAAAAAAAAAAAAAAAAAAGCTCAAAAGCCCCAACAGAAGCGGCCGAGGTGTTCAGGTGCTCGCAAGCACCCAGCACCGACGCTCCCCCAGGCCGAGGAACACGAGTGGGGTGAACTGGAGGGGGGGGGGTGGGAGCCACCGCCTCCGGGGCGCCCGCCGAGCTCGCCCCTGGGGGGGTGCAGGACCCTGGCGCCCCGGGCGCGGTGGCTCGTCCGTGTCCTTTCCGGGTCCTGCGGCGCCGCCGCCCGGGGCCGGAGCCCGCGCTCGGTGGGTTTCACCCGCCGGGACCCGCAGCGACTTGCGCGTCCGACCCCGCCGAGGCCCCGGGTCACGGCTCGGGCACTGCGCCCCTTTCCGGGCGCCGCCGGGGGTGCTCCCGGGGGAAACGCGGGCGCGGGCGGGTCCCCGGGTCCCCAGGTCCCCGGGCCGCCTGCCCCGCCGGTGGGTGAGCGCCGGGGCCGCACGCGGGGCACGACGCATTCTTTATTTTATATATTTTTTAAGATTTTATTTATTTATTCATGGAGACCGGGGGGGGGGGGCAGAGACCCAGCGGAGGGAGCAGCAGGCTCCTGCAGGGCGCCCGCCGCGGGACTCGATCCCGGGACCCAGGGTCACGCCCCGGGCCGAAGGCGGCGCCGACCCGCTGCCCAGGATGGACCTCTCGACGCGGAGGAAGGTCCTCGCCGGCCCGGGCCACGTCCTGTTCGGCCCGGATCGAGGCGGACAAACACCCCCGCCCCGCCCCCCCCCCCCCCCCCCGGCCGTGTGCCTCGTCCGCGTCGGGGACCGAGGAGCCGGGGGGCCTGCGGGAGGGCGGGGTTCGGGGAGCCCCGGGCGGCAGCCCCGGAAGCCGGGCGCCGGGAGGGGCCTCCGAGGGGGAGCCGCAGGGGCTGGGAAGGGGGCGGCCGAGGTCGCGGGGA